GGACCCAGAGTGAGTAGGCAGGGATCTCTCTGGGACTCTCTTCTCGCAGCTTCCCCTGTCTGTGCCTAACACTAACTGCTTCTTCCTCTGGTTTTGTCTTGCTCCTCGGGGTGTCCTGAGAGCCTGAATCACTTACTGCATTTCCTCCGTTATAATTCTTCAGTTAGGAGCCAAGACTCATCAATTCTACCCTAGCTTTTAGGACTTAAAAGCAACAGTAACAAGCCAGGGAAGGGAGGTCAACTGTTTCATTAGTTATGAGCCTTTCTTTGAACATCTTTTCTGCGCTGTTCCATGGAGGATGTGGAAAAATGTTATCCCTTAAAGGAAAACCAAATTTCCTCAGAACCCTAGAGACCTCGCTCTATGATGAGCCCAGATAACATTAAAAACAAAAGTTGAGCTTGGAAGATTTGCTTGAGTTGCTTTATTTAGTTAAGCCTTCTGCCCGTTAAGGACTTAGTTTCTCCAGATATTTGCGCCACTGAAGGGATTGAAGGCTCTTTTGCAGCTATTTAGCTGGAGCACAACATACAAGTGCAGGGACTCTGAGGAAGAACACAGGAGGACAAGGAAGGGAAAGGTCTGGGTTTGTGTTCTTCAGAGGAGCCTAACCTTCCTGTTGCTTCCAAGGCTTTTCTGCCCAGAGCTCAGAGTTCAGGAGCCTTGTGCAGCCCTGAAATCTGAGGCTTTATGCTTGATGCTCTGCTCCTTCCTAGAGAGCTTATTTTATTTATTTTTATTTTATTTATTTATATGCCAGAGAGAGAGAGAGAGAGAGAGAGCCCAAGCAGGGGGAGCGGCAGGCAGAGGGAGAAGCAGGCTCCCCACTGAGCAGGGAATCTGATGCGAGACTTGATCCCAGGACCCTGGGATCATGACCTGAGCCAAAGGCAGATGCTTAACCGACTGAGCCACCCAGGTGCCCCTTAGGTAGAATTTTAAACATTCAATTTAGCTAGTAACCACTTGCAGTTTTATTGTATATAGGACAAGTAGTGTGAATTATATACCGGAAGTAGTGAGTGGTGGTCAAATTCATGGACTTGCTCTTTGGTGTTCCCTGCTGGAGACAATGAAGAGTGTATGCTGGGGACCCTGGTTGGTGCAGTCAGTTGAGCTTCCGACTCTTGGTTTCAGATCAGGTCCTGATCTCAGGGTCCTGATCTCAGGGTCGTGAGATTGAGCCCCGAGTCTGGAGCCTGCTTCAGATTCTCTCTCCCTCTCCCTCTGCCCCGTCCACTCATGTGCGTGCTCTCTTTTAAAATCTTATATATAAAAAAAAAAAGTGAATGGTCTTTATTTATGACATCACCACCAGCAGTCATCCTGATTTGTGATTTTGAAAATCTGCTGTCTTTGAATCACATTCATTAAAGCATACTCTTTGAGGTGGTTTTTCCCTAATGATGATGAATTCCTACTGATCCAGGCACTCTTTCTGAGTCCTTTTGTGTGCCCAAGAACTTTCATTTGCAAGACAGATGGCTGGTTGGGGGCAGTCTGTGCAGACATGAGAGAAGTAAACTGGGCCTTGGAAATACTGTGAGAGTATTTTTTAAACCTAAGCTGAGTTCCACAGTTTTTGGTTTTTGGGGGGTTCTTCATTATTTGTTAATATGTGTGGAGAAAGTATAAAACTTACTAAGAAGTATAAAGTTAGCCACATTTAGTTTTGCTTTTAATTCATAACCGTACTGAAAAGAATACAATTGCCTGAAGTTGAGAATAGTCCAGGAAATTCAAGGCCTGTGTCTTTTGAGTCTAGACTTCTTTCTGAACCCCCAGTATGTGTTTCAGCTCTCTCTAGGTGACCTTCAGGCATGTCACATTCAGCATGTTCAAAAGCAAATTCCTTACCTTCTCTCTCAGACTTCCACCTGTGCTTGTCCTCCTAGTCTCTGATGTGCTTCCCAAGCCGGAGACATCCTTGTCTCCCCTTCTCCTTCCTCATAGCAAGTCAGCCACTTGTACTATCAACTCGCTCCATCAAATGACTCCTTGCTCCTGCTTCTATTTCCGTGCTCTGTCTTAACTCAAGCCTTCATCATTTCTCCCAAACAAATCCTACTCAGCTGTGTGTCCTAGGGCTACAATATAAGGTTCGCCAGTGGCTTAGGATCCACTGTCCTTCCTGATCCATCCTCACCCAGCATTTGCCCCCACCCTACAATGTCCTTTCATGACTCCATACCATCCTTTGAACTGGGGAGCAAGCACTGATTCGTCATTTAAGACCTAGCAATAATGATGCCTTCTTTGGGGGCGCCTGGGTGGCTCAGTTGATTAAGCGACTGCCTTCAGCTCAGGTCATGATCCTGGAGTCCCAGGATCGAGTCCCGCATCGGGCTCCCTGCTCCGCAGGGAGTCTGCTTCTCCCTCTGACCCTCTTCCCTCTCGTGCTCTCTCTCATTCTCTCTCTCTCAAATAAATAAATAAAATCTTTAAAAAAAAATGATGCCTTCTTTGGGGGGGTGTTTCCTGACTCCACCTACTGAGTTAGTTACTGTGTCCCCATACCATCATCCATACTTCTTTTGCATAGGGTAATTAACTGCTTATCTTTCTTTCTCCCTAGAGACTGTGATCTCACCAAGGACAAGCCCTGTCTTAATTGTATTTCTAGCAGTCATTTGAGTGCTTGGTAATTAGAGGATCTCAGATATTTGCTGTGAGAAAGGATGAATGGATGGATGGATGGGTGGTTGAACTGAAAGTATGCCCTGGGATCTGGTAACAACATGTTCTGAATAATGAGGCACCTTGCCTCAGACAGGAAACATCTACAGTGGTATATGGCTTGAGTGGATATTAGAGGATCTGTGTTTACCCTTGAACTTGTGTGGTATTTGGACATTGGGTCTTTCTTCTAAGTGCTTTCCCTTCTGTATGCTTCCATAGGTATTACTGGCCTCTCTTACCTTCCCCCTACTCCACACACACATATGAACAGGGAATTTTCTCTCTAGTGCATCCCCTTTATTAACAGCCTTTCTTGATTGATGGCAGCATTTTGACTATCACCACCCAAATACTCGGCCTCAATCTTTACTGCCCCTTCCCCTGTGGATACCACAGTTCTCGCTCTTCTAAATGATGCCTGTTAAAAAGCTCTACTCTTAAAGCAGGGGGGTGTGTTACTCTTTAACAGTCTCATGATTACCACCCCTGCCAGATAATCTCACCTGACCGTGGATTTCACCACTGCCTATCGGGCTGACTGCTCTGTGCTGTCCATGCAGAAGGTAGCTTACAGTACGCCATGACCCCAGCCTGCATGCAGACGAAACAACAGGAAGTCCGGGCAGGGGGTCAAACCGGTCCTCTTCCACCCACTGTGCTGCCGTGGAGCCCAGCAGAGGCCTGGGAGCTGGTGGTCAGGTGAACGTCAGCACTAAGAGCAGCACAATATGTGACTTCCTCCAGACGAGGTCGGGGAAGGGAGCCACATGTACGCATGGAGAGTGTGGGCGAAGGTGATAGCACATCCTTCTGTTACAAATTGAGTGCAACCAGTTCATCATGTGACCTGATGATAAAGTTTGATAAATAAGGAGATTTGGAGTTGGGATTCTCTCAAGGTAGAAAAGAATAAACATCAAAGCCTCTGTGAGAATTTTGCATTGATTGGGAAGTGGTTGCTCATTAGCCTTATAAGATATGGTAAGTGAACAGCATCTACTCTCCTCCTCTGCTCCATCACATACTTGTTTATTTTGTGGGCTACTTTTTAAAATTGTGGCACCAGCCATTGTTCTTCTGTGGGGATTATTCTATTACTCTTTGCCATACTTTGGACACCTGGAAGATTTGGAAGAGCTTTGATGCCCTTTTTTTTATAATAGAGCCTTGGGAATCACTTAAGAAGAACTTATGTTAGATAGAGTATCAGCATCTATGAGAAGCTAATTCTAACTGTGCCTTCCTAACTATTCAAAAATTCAGGTTTAATCATATGGTTAATTCAGTGCTATAATTTCCTTAATCCCATGCTTATTAGATCAATAACTGTTTAAGCAAGATTGGATCTGCTGTTGGTTGGCCCCACCCCTAATATCCACTCCTAAGAGCTCATCCTTTTGTCTATATAGCTTTTTGTTCACAGCCCCACAACATTTTATCATTCCAGTAGCACTCTGCCTGGGAGTGTACTAAATATACTAAATGTACAAAAGTACTAAATGAAGTCAAAGTGAGAGAGTTAGGACTTCAAGAGGTTTGGGAGGGCAGCCTTATGAAAGTGAAAATGGCAGAACAGAATGGTATGTGGTCGTGATGACCTACAGAGGGCGCCACATGGTGTTGAAATTCCATCTGCAAGCCTGTGCAGCTGGTTGGGTGAGCCTTGGTCTGTCTTGAAGTGGAGGCTGGAGGGCTGCCTGCACTGGGTGCAGGGGCTGGGAGGGGGAGGGGCGGGAAGGAGAAAGGAGCCGAGGAGTAAAAATGGCTCTTGAGATTGAGGGGCAATATGAAGCAACTACTCATTGCCCCAGCTTGGAACTTGGACATAGTAATATCTTCAGAGGGCGCAATTGAGTCCTTGAGATGGAGACCAAAAAAGAAAAAGATATGTGTTTGGCTCTTCCTCATTCAGCCACTCCACCCCGGCTTCACCTCTAAGCCCCCAACCCAGGCATTACTTTATCCATACATCTGTATCTGTATGCCAACGCCAGATCTATATCTATAGATCTAGGTATATAGACATACCAAGTCACATTTTTAAACAAGAGCTGCAGAATGCTTGGAAGCAGATGCCCACGAACTCTTTCCAGTCGTATCTAGAATTTGTTTTAACCTAAAGTTATGGAGACAGACTTGAAGGGAGACCTCCCCAACCTTGCTAAAATGTAAGTACGAAAAGGCACAAATTGGATGGATATTGATGATGTTATTTCTACTGTGACATCATCCATAGACTCCTAGTGTCTTTGCTTTGCTTCCCTATAGTGATCACAACATAAATTACTTGTCTTGTTTGACTTCCTTGTTCACCAAAGTTGAGCAGATTGTGGCCGTTTTCAACGCTTCTACCAGACAAAAAGCTTGGGACCATTTCTCGAAAGCTCAGCGCAAGAACATAGACATTTGGCGAAAGCATTCTGAGGTTGGTGATTTTATTATTACTTTTTAACCGCCATCACACAGCTGGATTGGCAGAGAATAGTGTGGCTGCAGACATTTCGGGTTTTTGTTATAACGGGCAGCTGTTGTGCCATTGTCCTGTCGCACTGTCAGCCCCAAATCCAGCTCAGATTTGTGCCTTATCCAAAAGAGCAGCTGACTTAATGCTTAGAAAACAGAGTGCTTTTCTACCCCTGCAGAGGGAGAAAAGCATCTCTCCCATTCATAGCAAAGAGCTCGGAAATAAGCCAAGACACTTTGCCTGCCTATTCTGAAGAAAAGTGTAATGTAAAATAGAAAACTGGCTTTTTAAATAAATACGGAGGGTTTTTTTTTTCCAGTGTTCTGCAACGTGATGATGATGGTTTGCTCTTTGGGCTAGAAATGGCAAGTATGCCTTTCTTCTGTGCCTTCCCATCATAAACAATGCCTTAGTCCCCTGTGCTAGCCAGCCGGGTATGTAACAGCTCTCTCCAGAGTGTCTTTCCCCAGGGGCGCAAATGTCCAGGCTAGCCAGGGTCCACCCTTCTGCAGCAATGTATGTGTGAAGTGTGAGTATCCACCCCCAAGGAAAGAGGCCAGAACTTGACCTTCCTTGCCACCTAGAAAGACCAGAATGTGTCATTAGTCATTGGTCGTACAGCTGTTATTTTTAACTCCACAGTGTAGTGTACGCTTTGAACCTGTCACTTAAAAGTAAGTATACTATCTTTGTTTGCTTATTTGTTTTTTTTTTAATGAGAGAATGTTTTCCATTTGGATGCCTTTCCATCTCTAGCATGTTAATATTAAAGTTCTCTAAATGATATTCCCCTCTTTCAAAATCCCCAAACTTATAGAAGGTAAGGTTTGTTTATTTAATGATTTGGGCTTACACTTGTAAAATAAGTGTTGTATATGGAGTTTGAGGAACCACAAAGTACTATAATATCAATCATTTGGGTAGCATTTTAAGTGCCGATTAACTAATGCTAAATTACAGCTGAATACCAATGGCACTAGATGTAACATCCACATGAATACCAAATGAATTCTTTATTATCACTCTTATTATAGCGAATACTGAATGACTTCACAATAATGGGACACTTAAAATGCTAGTGCAATTTATTGTTAAGAAGGACATTTTTTATTTTGTTCACAAATACTTAAGGTGGCTGGTGACTGATGTAGTTCTGTTCCTATGCTCAGGATTATGAGTAAGGAGGAAGTGAGATTTCTCTTTAATTTTTCAGGGCCCAGAAAAACAAAGGGTGCTTACCTGCTGCTCTCTCAGACACTGAATCGAGACCCTAAGTCAAGGTTGATTTTCGGGAGGATAGAGAGTCCTCATTTAGGATGAAATATACAAATCAAGGGTTATGAAAACACAAATTGAAATCCGTAAACTGTGATTCAGATTTGGGAACGATGGGTCTATAAATTGTTTATCTATTTTTTTTTCCTTCACATAAACACCAAACATAATTAAAAGAAATGTTAAGGGAAAGGCAAGTGGCATTATGCTAATGATCTGGGCATAAAAAGGCTGCCATTAGTATGTGAGTGTTGGAAAATATCCATTATTGATCTAAATCACGCTTCCCACCTGCCTGGTCCCCTGCCCCTAGCCCTGCGTCCCCCGAAGGAACGGAGGAACGGGGGCTGTGGTCCCCGCTGTTGAGCAGGGCATGCAAAGCTTCCAGCTTTGTTCCAAGGAAGCCTGCTTGCTTTGCTCAGTGCACACACGGCGCAGTAGAAATGGATGCATGCAGTCCTGAAAGGTGCTCCTGCAAAGGGCCTTTGTGCCTCTCTGCCACTCCTACCACCTCTTCTGATATTCTAGGAAATAGAATTCTAAATTACCTTTGATTTTCTCTCCTACATGTCGCTTAATTGATTAAATACCAGTTGGTAATTTAACATTGTGGATGATTTCTCTGTTGCGTATAAGCTTGATAATTGGCTTGATTTTTTTCTGCGTTCCCATGTACAGCATCTGTTAATTATCTGCAACACCTTTACAGATTTATGAGAGTGTACAAGCGATTTACTGCTGAACCAGAGGCACCCTGTGGAAACACCCTCGGCTTTTTTTTCCCCTCCAATTTTTTTTTTCTTTCCAACACTCTTCCCCACTGAATAGTTACAGTATGACAGTTTGTCATTCGTTGTGGGGACTCAACAACAGACCTTTTCAGCCTTCTTTATTCTTTCCACCTGACTTTTCCTTGTTTCTAGTATTTTCAGGCCACCTTTTTGGGAACAGGGTTCTTTGTCAGTAGAAAAATTAGCTGTACACAACCTAAAAGCATTCCCACTAATCACGTGACATCCGCCTCCAAGAGCCACTGGTGTTATTTACAGTGGAGTTGGCACCTCTTTCCACTGGCTGGTGTGGCCAAGTGAGGAGGCGTTGCCCATCACCTCCGTGGCCTCTCAAGACTCCCTGTGATGGGCGTCCCTCTCCCAGGGACCCTGACCCTCTGCCCTCCCTCCCCTTTCCCTGTCATCTGCAGTGCTCATTCCCAGGGTTCAGAGTTGACCGTGCAAATACTGCTAGCAATACAGAATTTTCTTTTTGTCCCACTACAGTTAAAATCTGTGAGCTAAGGAGAGAGGAGAGTTCAGAGAACCTATAACACCATAAAATACGCACATCTATCAAATGGGCACTAGAACTGTGCTTAAAATCATGCCATTAATACATTAGGTGTTCTAATTTAGTTTTATTGTTATTCAGAGATTTATTAAAAGCAAAATTATTTTAACTCTTTGGCTTTTATTTAGAGACTTCAATTTCAGTAGGAAGAAAAAGAATAATGTAGTCCATCCCCTCCTTTGTTTTGTTTTGTTGAGGACAGTACATGTGAGAGAACAGAATTGATAAGAATTCACAAATACACAATATTCAGTAATACAAAATAATGTAATTACTTACCATGAATAATTAGAGTGTCCTGATTTTTAGGTAAGGGAGTAAAAACTTTATTGTGACTCGTTACTTTTTACAGTGAGTTTTCACATACATTCTTTGACTGCAATCACTCCTCTAGTAAGTAGACAAAGTAAGATATGATCCTACGGTCTTTCAGTGATGTCAGAACAACCATCACAACAAAAACACTAAACGCTACATGATGATGTGAAACACCAAAAAGAAGGCATCGGTTTTATTTTGTCCTCCAGCATCTTTTGCATTTTGCCATTTGGATGTCTGAATGGTGTGTGCATATGATCACACAGGGGCGCGCACACACAGTGTAAGGGCACTATTTTTTTTAAGATGTTATTCATTTATTAGAGAGAAATCATGAGTGGGGGGAGGGGCAGAGGGAGAGTTAGAAGCAAACCCCCCTGCTGAGCAGGGAGCCCATGCTGGCTCAGTCCCAGGACCGTGGGATCATGACCTGAGCTGAAGGCAGATGCTCAACCTTAACCGACTGAGGCACCCAGGCACCCTGCAGGGTCACTATTTTGCATGAAGAATTCCAGTGGTCCACGTTATCAACTTAGCAAACCAAGTGTCTAGCATAATGCTAAGGAGCTTTGCATGCATTAACTTATTTGATCTTCAAAACTGTTATCATCACAGTATTCCAATGAGTAAATCAAGGTTAAGAGAGATGAAGAAACATTCCTGAATTTACACAGTGGGTCAGTGGTCAACAAGGCCTTTTATAAGTGCCATCGTGCATGTTTCTTATCATTAGCTCAGAGTCCCTCCTTGTGTGCCGGTCATGGCAAGAGGCATTTCTCTGGAATCCTACTAGGTGATATTATTATACCCTTTCTGGCAAATGAGGAAATTGAGACTCAAGAGATGAAATAATTTGCTGAAGACCCCCTGGCTAGTCATTGGTGAGCCAGGATTTATCCCTGGGTCTTTCCACTCCCTACACCCCTCAGAACTTCATTCCAGATTACACGGGGCAGTGTCTGGGAGGGAAACAATTCAGATTCTAAGCGTTCATATGTCAGTCGGAATACACCGAAAGACCACTGGGTAAAGGTATGTTGACATGTGTCTGTGACTCTGACATCCTCCTATCTTCTGCTTTCAGGAGCTCCGGAACGCTCAGAGTGAGCAGCTCATGGGCATCCGTCGCGAAGAAGAAATGGAAATGTCAGATGATGAGAATTGTGACAGCCCTACTAAAAAAATGCGAGTCGATGAATCAGGTAATGCTGACGACTGCCACACGCGCACCCCTGTGAGACACCATCATGGTCTTCCAGATCTCAGATGGGGCGTAGGTATATTGGGAATGGCCGCATAACTCACTTTTACTTGAGTTACACTAAACTTTCATCTTTGAGTGACTCTGCCTTTTATTAATAGAACTTTAAACTCCTTCTTAGGAACATGATGATTTAAATTGCTCCAGTTGTTTCTCCATCTGTAGATCTGGGGCTGTTGTACTTTTCTCAGGGATATTTGCCTATTCCCATAAAAATCCTTTTCCAGAGCGTGGCAGCCACCACTGATGCTGAAATACACATAGAATTTGGTTTCAGTCAGTGTACTTCTTACGTGGAAATTGTTTAATCCCAGAAGAAGCTTTCTAGCCTCTGAGCCAATGTGCTGGAGAATTAGAATAGTTTTCCAATAAACGTTACCTAACCCGTAATCAAAGGGGTGGCCCCATTTGGTACCAAGAAAGGAGTATCACTCCTTGAGTTGTAAAAAGGAGAGAAGCTGAGAGAGGACCTTGCTTTATGTGCTCTGCCTGAACCAAGAGGCTGATTGAAATCTCTCTCCTCAAATTAGATGTAAATCTCTCAGTATTGCAGGCACGATAAATGCTCACTCAGATGCGGGAGACACCAAGGAGACTGCTTGTCTGAGAGGAAGAGTGTTGTCTAAGGGGCCTGGGAAGGACCACAATTGCCACCATTTCCAAAAAAGAAAATCAGAGGGATTGCTTAGATTTGACCTGTCTCCTCTTATGTACTCATGACTAAAATACCCATCTCAGGCTCTTTAACAAAATCAAGAACAGGAACAGAGGATCTTTGCTGATATGTTTGTAGAAGCCAAAACCAAGATTCCAACATGCTCAGGTCAGCAAGATTGCAAAGTGGTAACAGTGCTCTGTTTCTCCAGGGTTTAGTGAGGGCCAGGGGAGTAAATGACGATCACAAGAAAATGCTCTGCATCCAGGCAGATACAGAAGGGACTTTAATTTCATTAGAGTAGTGGTTCTTAAAAGTGTGGTCCCCAGTCGGGCAACATCAGCATCACCTAGGAACTTAGAAATGTAAATCCTCGGGCCCTACTCAATACCTAAGGAATCAGAAACTCTAGGGGAGGCAGAGGTGGTGGGGGTGTGAGTTTCAGCAATCTGTGATTTAAATCCTCCCGGAAATTCTGATGCATACTAAAGTTTCAGGACCAGTGCCTTAGAAAATTTCCCTTTCATCCTCAAATTCCACTCATTTAAATCTTTTAGAAGCTTAGCATAAAAGCAGGCACCATGCCACTATTTTTTGAAGCCATACATCCTTTGTCTGAAAAATGAACCTACATTTATGTGTCAATGCATGTCTCTTATTAAGTGGATATGAAATTTCTCAGGACTGCTTGATTATTGGACTTGGACTTGCTTATTTGAGGACAGCAATCTCTATTCGGCAAACCTTCACTTATCAAAAGAAAAGAGCGAGTTTTAATGTGAATTTCTTAAATTTAATGAGATCTTCCGATAAATAAATAATTATTTTTTCCTCTCAAGAAAGCTTTCGTCATTTTTGAAGTTTCTAGATGAGGGGCAAGTTTACATGAAACTTGGATCTTTAACATTCTTACAAGGTAGGTGTAGAAGAAAAGAACGGAATCCATCAGAAATTCTTATTTGAACCCGTGGCTTTTTTTTTTTTAATTTGGGGGTGATATTTCTTTTTAAAAAAGTTATCAATTTCCCAAGTAAGGAATGTGTATAATTTCATAGTCTGCTCGGAAGAGGACAAGAATAAGAATGACTCAGAACAGTCGGCTCCAATGGGGAAGTCTTACAGACCATGGCAGCCCAGACCCCCAGGATCAGTCCCTGAGCTCTGCTGCGGAAGAACTCAAAGTCCTGTTTGCTCAGCAGGGACATGAGACCCTCTCTGGAAGCTTCACTGAGAGCCTCCTTCCCAGATCTCTGTTGATTTCTGCCCCAGGCATCTGGTAAGAGCCTAAGCAGCAGCTGAACTTTGAGTTCTCCAAGCTTGTTCCTTGGTCAGCGGCATGAATGAACACAGCACCAAGCATGTTCTATACCAAGTGCTGGGGAAAGAGATGGAAGAACTGGAGTTCAAATGCCAGGTTCCCAGGAGTTCAGAATCTTTGTCGTGCTTTTCAAAAATGAGATGGACCAGAGAACGCAACATGTGGTTTATGGGGGAAAGCTCAGGACCAATTAGAGGGGAAGGAAAGCAGCTAACCTTTTTTATTCCAGTGGGCCCTGAAGATCCCGCCAAAAGGCTGGAAGCTGTTTTTCTTTCAGCCCAACATATTCGGGGACACCACCTGACAGCAAGAATTCCCATCTGGTCCTTTGACCAAGCTCCCGCTGGATCCCTGCAAACGGCTGCTGGAAGGGGAGGGATTGAGGCCCTGCAACCTGAGGGAAACACACCTTTCAGCAGTATCATCAGGCAACTCCGCATTCATTTTAGGTGCAAACTGGCATCTGTCCATCACCCAGGAGCAGACATCTCAAAACCTAGTGCTCTGATTCACTGGCGGCAATTGCCGAGGGCACCTAGAAGTAAACGCCTCTATTCTTTTAAAAAATCCCTTGCCCTCCTCCTTTCTGCTCAAACAGTGAGCTTTGGCCTCCAACCTCCCAGTCATTGGGTGACCCAAGACTTCTTGGGAATTCCAGGGGAGAACATCCTTCGTGGAGCCTCCTGCCCGAGAGGACTGTGGCAAGGCCACCTCCTTGTAGGATGCGTGAGGCGGGTCTACCACGGCCTCCCTTGCTCTTCATTTCCTCCTAGAGCAGAGACCAACCTGCATGGGTTTTATTTCTGAGGGGGAGGCAGAGAGAGTCGACTTTGGTTTCTAGAAGAGACAGGATTTTTTTGTGAGGACTTATGTGATAGCTTGGGTTTATTTATTTATTTATTTTTTAAATCCGTGTCTTTTAGCATATCTCTGCTTTTGTGGTTATGAAGAAGATCTCACTGTGCTTTTGCCTTTTACCACACGTAATAACTCCGCAGTGTGTCTTTGGCTAGAGAGTTCTCCACTACTGTCACCACTACCATCTAATTCTGGGCAGGCGGCTCACTGTTCCTTATCAGTTGACTCTTAAAGGGGAAACGGAGTTTGCTGGAGCAAAACTAAGATGCCGATAAAAATGAAAATGAGTTTTGTTAATAAATTTGAAACTCAAGACAGATTTATCAAAGCATTCATTCAAGAAGATTGGCATCCTGCTCCAAAGCCTATGAAGATAATTTTTGATAAAAATTCACATTTATTGCCGCAAAGTCTGCCTCTTACTGGAATTAAGCCCAACTTTAAAAGCCAGATCTATTGCTCCTTCTTCTCCTCCCTCCTCCAGGTTGGCAGTGGGGTGGGCAGAAGTGCACAGGGAGAAAAGGGAGGAAAAGAGGAAGTCTGTCCAGAGTGTAAAGCCTCGTGTGGGTGGCAGAACCCGATCAGGTATAGTACTGTGGAGTCCATGCAGGTAGAGACCTCCCAACTGTACTTACAGTGTCGAGCACATAGTAAGTGCTCAGTCACTGTGTACTCTGCTTGCCTTAGTCACTCTCCAGCACCTGGCCCTGGGCCTTTCACCAAGTAAGTGAATTTTGTTGACTTCAATTGCATATTCCCCTTCTTCTGGTCTTTTTGATGCCTTTGTCCCATAAGTTGATGGGAAGGGTGTAACCCTGAGAACATTTGCTCTAAATTTAAATGGCAAGCACAAAGAAGCTTGTTCAAACAAGGATGATTCATTTCTCCAAAATGTGCAAAACTCTTACGCATTCAGAATCCAGTGCCACGTGCTGAATAGGCTAGGACCCAGAGAGCTGACGCTCAGCATCATTCTAATTATCAACAAACATTTGTCAAGCCCTTCTTGTGCGCAGAGCACTGTGAGCCCAGGAGATATGGAGAGGGCTAGACATAGTCTGTCCTGCCCTCAAGAGTGTGAGATACTTTTTGAAGAGAAGAAATATACATTTGGGGGCGCCTGGGTGGCTCAATCGTTAAGCATCTGCCTTCAGATCAGGTCATGATCCCAGGGTCCTGGGATCAAGCCCCGCATCAGGCTCCCTGCTCCGTGGGAAGCCTGCTTCTCCCTCTCCCACTCCCCTGCTGTGTTCCCTCTCTCGCTGTGTCTCTCTCTGTCAAATAAATAAATAAAATCTTTTAAAAAAAAAGAAATATACATTTTAAGTCAATAAAAGTACAGTGCCTAAATGCCTAAAAGCCTAATGCCAAATATGTTCTAAAGCCATTGCTTTAAATTCACTATAAACCAAAGTGAATATCACTATCTAGCGTATGCACCTTATCCAGTATATGGTAAGTATAGATTGTACATTGAACACAAATTTTAGAAGAGTAAAACTAAAATATCTTTTCGTAATAGACCACCCTTAAAACATTTCATAACGCACAAATGTTCTTGGATTTTGATTACACCTCATTTAAACTCTGAGCTCTTTATAGGAGCACATACTCCTTTAATTACGAAAAGTGTTTTCTTGGTTGTTGATTTGCCATGGAAACTTACCACATGTAGGTACAGATTTATTTTTCTAATTTCAATAAGACGTCCAGCAAGGATTTCCCGAATCTTTCAGCTAACTGAATCAAATTAGGGACTCACAATAAAGTTCAGTTGGAATCAGCAGTATTCAGTTTTCTGAATAATTCTACATGTAGCTGAAAGCTTGAGGTTAAAAAAATTAATAGTAATAATAATTACGCCCTCTCTGACTATCCCCTTGATCTCTCTTTTTTTTAAGATTATTTTTTATTTATTTGACAGAGAGAGACACAGCAAGAGAAGGAATACAACAGGGGGAGTGGGAGAGGGAGAAGCAGGCTTCCGGCTGAGCAGGGAGCCCGATGTGGGGCTCGATCCCAGGACCCTGGGATTATGCCCTGAGCTGGAGGCAGACGCTTAACAACTGAGCCACCCAGGTGCCCCTCTTTGTTTTTTTTTTAAGGATTT